AATGTTGTCCATAGCTTGTCATGACCCACACAATTGAAAGCCTTTGCGTAGTCAATAAAGCACAGTAAACATCTTTCTGATATTCGCTGCTTTCAGCCAAGATCCACCAGACATCAGCAATGATATCTCTCGTTCTATGGCCTCTTCTGAATCCAGCTTGAACCTCTGGATAAACAGTGTTCCCAAAACGTACATAATTGAGGTATGCCCTGCCAGTGCTGTGCTGGCGAGGTGAGGGGAGTGGGAGACAACAGGACAGCACCTGTAGGGAACCCAGAAACCACCGCGGTGGACAGCCACTCTGCAACACCACACAGCAGATGGAAGGGAGGGACTGAACATGCCTACCTGAGGAGGTTCCCAAGAGTCCAGGCAAAAACTCCATGATCTTCATCGTATATGTCTCACTAACTTTTTGAAGGCCCTGGAAAAACGCTGAACGAAACATATTGAAATGAAAAAGAAATGGAGCAGGAGCCAGAGCACAGTATTGCGTACCTTCAAGCATGCTTGTTGGGCGCCACGCTTGTTGGGCGCCACGCAGCCGCTTCCAACTCATAGCAATGCCCCATGCTGGAGTAGGCCTGCCCCGTAGGGCTCTTCTGGTTGTAATCTTTATGGAAGTGATCGACAAGCCTGTCTCCCACAAAGTCTTTGGGTGGGCTTCAAGTGCCAACCTTTGAGTCTGCAGCTGAGCACTCAACTGGTGAGCCAGCAGGGCTCCTAACAGTCTTTTGTTGTTGCTCAGTGATTATCAGGTTGGTTCCAGCTCCTAGCAACCCTACGCCCAACAGAACAGATACCCCTGGTTCCACGTCCTCGACCAAGTGTGAATTTCTGGCCATTCCTGTCCATGGACTGTTGTAGCCACTTGAATTTTCTTCAGCAAAAATTTACTGGCATGGGATACTGATATTGTTTGATGACAATATCATTAATTTTTGAGACCTTCCAATTTCCCTGGATTCTGACTGTACAATTTTCAACAACATCCAATTTCCCTAGAATCTGACTTTATATATGCCACAATCCGATGCCTAGTGTTTAGGCACTGTACCAGACAGCGTTCTGGTGGTGTTCATGTCTTCATCTTCCGGCACTGTATCTGACAGTGCTCCATGGCTATTCATAAGGTTTTCAGTGGCTAAGCCTTCAGAAGTGGTTCGCTCACCTCCCCTTCTTCCTAGTCTGTCTTCATCTGGATGCTTTGCTAAAACCTGTGCCCCATGGGTGACCTTGCTGGGATTGAAAAGGCTGGTGGCACAGCTTCCAGAGTACGACAGACTGACAGACGTGTGGTAGCCAGTAAGTGAAATGAAAAGCCCACCACACACAAAATGCTACATGTTAGACATGGCCAACAGAGTGAGGGACTGTGTGAAGAACAGGAGCCAAAAGCAAAGCAAAAGCCTGAAGTACCATCCCTCCACAACTGGGCCATAGGATCCTGTGTCCTGAGGGAACATCAACAATCCAACGTCACTATCCTAAAGTTAGAGAGAAGACAGATGTGACTGGTTAACACAAGGGGACTCCAGTTTGTGGAAAATGAAACTTTTCCAGATGCGTGAACACACTGGGACCTGTGGGAGACCTGCGGAGTCACCACCACCCCTGAGGTAACGAACACCTATGACCTTTCCCGAGCGACAAAGGTAGCTCTAGTGTGAGGCAGGCAGGCCTGCAGAAATAGGCACTGGCCCCCATGCCCCCCAGGTTCACACCTCATTCCTGGAGCAAGGTTCAGATTCCAGGAAATAAACAACAGACCTCAGCCTCATGTGACCCCCAGGCTAATCTCCTGTCTATGACCCACCTCCGGGAGGGAAGAGAGCCCCGAGCTATGGTCACCTGCTTCCGCTTCTGTAACTGCTTGCTTGTATGCTCATACATCCTTCCCCACCGTATGCATGAACCAGCCAATCCCAGGTAGCCCATGGCGCTGTTGGCCCCCGATAACCAATCCCAAATGAACTCATGTATGTACCCATTCCCTGTAAAATATCCTCACACAGAGAAGTCGGAGCTCAGCCTCTGGATAGGAATCCACTGAGCCACGTGCCGGCACAATAAAGGTCCTTCCTTTGTTGCAAGCAGTGTGGCGCTGGCAACTCCTTCAGAGCAATTCCGTTAATACCAGTTCCACTTCCAATCTACCCCTCAACCACTCCACCAGCTAGTAAACATTTCCTGCTCCTTGTTTCTCAACAAACTGCTCAGTGAAGGCAGCCCTGGAAACAGCCTGTGAGCCCAGCACTTGGTGCTTCCTGGATTTACGTTTACAAAGAACCAGAGCAGTAGCGAGGAGAGGAGTGTCTGTAACGACAGTGCCCAAAACACTCACCGGAGCAGAACCCGAGTCTCAACACCCCAGAGCGGGGACCCCAGGCCACCACATGAAGTGAGGCTTCCCAACAATGCTAAGCTGAGTTGGGTATGGTCCAGTTGCTCTGGCCACCACAAACCCTGTCAGAGACAAGGCAGAGACTTCAGCTGGCTGGGCATGAGTTCAGGAGACATGGACTTTGAAAATGGTCTGAAAATGACACTTGAAAACCAGTTTGATTCTGATTTTTATTAGGAGGTCAGAACAGAAGTAGAGGGAGAGGTAGCAGCAAAAAGGCAGGCCACTCTAGTGAAGCCCCAGGCCAGGCAGATGCTCAGAATCGCACCTGGGCCCTGAAATGCATCTGCTTGGTGGCGTTGTTCTTCATTCCCGTCTTCAGCATCCACGAGGACTTCATCCTCTGGACATACTGCATGTCCCGCTCGCGCATCAGAGCTGCTCCTGCAGAGGATGGTGGGAAGAAACGGGGAAGGGGAAGGAAAGGCCGGGCTGATTGGGCAGCAAGAGGCTGGAGGAACCTACGCTCCTCGGCCAGCCTTCAGTTCTGGCGTGGAACCCCTGGCCCAGTTTTCAGGCATGCAGTGGAGCTATGGGGGGTGGGTGGGGGCCACAACTCCAGTCAGTCGTGTGCTCCCCATGGAACGCTCCACCGTTCAAGATCAAGCGGGCAGCATGCACCTGCAGACAGAGCTCAGAGGGGATTGGAGGAGGAGGCTGGGCTGGAACTAGGAGCCACAGTGAGCACACGTGGAGTGGACTGGGATCACTGGGATGAAACCAAGTGTACGACTGGCTGATGTACAACTGATGATTTCTCCTCTGTAAACCTTCACAACGACGAGTACAATCTAGGAAGGGGCTGTCCCTCGGGACCCCACCTTACCAGAGAAGCCATATGTCTGTCATCCTAGGGTCACTGGGGCCTTTTTTTGTATCACAAGTTACTAACTTGGGGTCACCAAGCAGTGGACCTCAGAATCTCTGAACACCCAAGACTGCATGCCGGCCCTTCTACCTATACACTCGTCATTTAGTTCTCACTAAAATTAAGAGACCCCCAAATATGAAGCCCCAATGTCCTAAGGGACAGGAAAAGGGAGAGAGAGCAGTCACATTCATCCTTCCCGTCAAGAGGAAGATGAGCCCCATGTGTGCGGAGCAGAGCGGCCTCACGGTTCACAAGCGGCACAGTGAAGGGAAGCCGATGTCTAGACACTCGGCAGTAAAACGGGACGGTGATGGCCAAGTTGTCCCAGTGGCAGGATCGCGTTCTCCCAGAGCTGGATGGATTTTCAGTCTCATACTGATGAGGCTTCCAAGCTGATTAACTTCAGGGCTTCGTTCTGCTGACTCTAAGTCTGTTCTTGGAAAATTACACAGAGGACTCACGCCAGCCTTGATTCTGTCAGGCAGCGCACGTGCCCTTGGCATGCGACGTGATGTTCAACTCTCAGAGCTCTAAAGAAAACCCTGTGGTTCTACTTTGTGAGTTAGGAAACGGAGGCTTAGAGACTAAGTCAATCACTCACAGCCACACTAGGAAGGAACCCTTGAGGCACAGTCATTAGGTGCTTGGCTGCTGACTAAAAGCTGGTGGTTCGAATCCACCAGCTGCCCTGCAGAAGACGTGGCAGTCTGTGCCCATGAAGGTTACAGCCTTGGCCACCCTATGTGAGCTGGATGATGTCAAACTCCCCAGCTCACAAAGCACTGCTGTTACCAAGTACTGTCAAGGCAATTCTGACTCACTGAGACCCTGAGGAGGGTTTCCAAGGAGCAGCTGGTGGGTTTGAACCGCCAACCTTGTGGTTAGCAGTCCAGTGCTGCTCCTACAGCAGCACATTAGCACTGGGGAGGTATCTGTTCGTGTGGCCCCAACACTGGGGAGGTATCTGTTTGTGTGGCCCCAGCACTGGGGCGGTATCTGTTTGTGTGGCCCCAGCACTGGGGCGGTCTCTGTTTGTGTGGCCCCAATACTGGGGCGGTATCTGTTTGTGTGGTCCCAGCACTGGGGCGGTATCTGTTTGTGTGGCCCCAGCACTGGGGTGGTCTCTGTTTGTGTGGCCCCAGACTCAGTTCAGCTTTTGGTGACTACAATGAATGCCGGTAGTCACTCTCTTCTGGACAAGCCAGCCATCGTGACCAGCCTGTTTCAGAAGGCTACTGTGCCAGACAGATGGGCTTATCGTCATGAATGTACCCTATCAGGTGGTGATGGATGCTCCTGAGCCAAGAAGGGACATGTCCCCAGCAAGTCACCCCAAAGACAGCATAAGCGCCAAGCCCCTCCTGGTCCCCGTACCTGTACTGCTGGTCCAGCCCAGGGCTCGGTACTGCTGGAGGACTCTGCCCACCACCTTCTTGTTTTTAGCAACCGTCACGGCTCTTGACACACCGAAGCGCTGTTTATAATATCTCATCAGGGAGCGATGGCCCACTCTGGCCCCTGTGTAGACAGCAAGATTGAAACACTGAGGAGCGCAGCTTTTCAAGGCAGTTCTAAAGCAGGCTCTCCAGCTCTACCGCTACCTGCCGAGAGAAAACAAGTAACCGGGATGGGGGACTCGGAACAATCTGTATAGATGTACAGAAACAGTTGAAGAGGAACCTAATTTACTGTGTAAACTTTCACCTAGAACACAGTGAAACAGTATTTAAAACAGCCACAGGGGGTGCCTTGAGATAGAAGAGGTTATAAACACAGTAAAATGAAGCAGACTGGTGCTGACATTTAGGTCTACACTGCAGCCAGGGACCAGCCACCTCCCCTGGGTTACATAGCCTCCTGGCGGGGTTCTCAACCGGGGCCAATTCTACCAGGCAGCCCCCAGAGGACGTGGGACAAGGCTGGGGAGACTTCCGCTAGTCACACCTGGAGGGGAGTTACTGGCAGAGGCCAGGGATGTGCTAACCACACCACAATGTACAGGGTCGCCCCCACGAGGGATTTTATCCCCAAGCCTGCAAGGGACACGTGGCAAGGCCTGGGGCCATGTCGCACCTGGAGGGGTGCTGCTGGCCTCTAGTGTAGAGACCAGGGATGTACTAAGCACACTGCTATGCCCTGGACAGCCTCCCCGAACAAGGACAGCTGTGGGCCACACGGCAACAGTGCTGTTCTCTAACCTAGTGCGACCCTCTGGGGTACAAGAACCGAAGGAGCAGCTTACTGTGAACTCATCTCCCTACAGCCTCTGCTTACACATCATCCTTCCGAAACGAAGCTCTACGTTTGATCCCCTAGTGATTCTGATTCCATTACGACAGGACCCCTATCAACTTGTAAACCAGAATGGGAGTGGGGTGGACCCTGTACCACCCAAATCAGACAACAGCAAAATAAAAGCACTGACTCTACACATGCCTCCAAACTTCTGTAGCTAACCACCTCCAGAGGAAAAGCTGTTTCCCAAAAGATCCCTGTGAGGTTCCTAATCAAGGGGAGGCTCACCTCCTATGGGTGAAAACGTCTCCCTGAAGCCACACAGCTGTGGTGGCGTAAACGTGTCGGGAAGCTCTCAGACGCTGGGCACTGCGCAGGCCCCAGGGACTGGCTGAGGGAGAGAAGCCTTCATGAAGGCTCTAGCCGGAACCCCGAGGACTGGAATTTAATTCTCAATGTCAGGTCAGGATGCTGCGGGTCTGCACTGGTCACAGTTCCAAACACTTAACCAGCAGGCTGCTCCTTCGGAGTAACACGGCAGTGTCTCTGCACAGCGAAGCAGCAAGTGGACATGGGCCTGGTTTAAGGCTGGCTTTTTAGGGAGTCTTGGAGAAAGCCACAGGTAGTGAGTGCTGGAGTCCTGCTCTCACCCGGTCAGTGAGTGAGCATCTGAGGCCGAGGAGTTGCACCTGCACAAGATGCTTACAGACAGCACCAGCTTGGCCATGTCCCCTCCCACGCAGCAATCCCCGATGACCACCAAGTGTCCACCTCAACTACACAGCCTCCTGAAGGACGCCATTCAATTTGACAAAGAAGGCACTTGGGACTGTCAGCTCCCTGGTACAACGTAATCAGGCCTGCCTTGTGTCTACTGCGGGTTTCCGTAGGTGGTCAGCAGCTAACGGGATGTGTCTCTCACCGGCTTCTGAGTGTTGTGCAGTGCCATCGAGGCAGCTTTGACTTATCTGGACCACACACTTCATGGTTCACAGTCCAGTGCTTATCTGACAGAGCTACCAGCTTCCTCCACGTGGACCGAAGAGCAATGAAGCCTCTTCAGAGGGACGCTCACTGCCCTCTACTGGAGCAGCGCTGTCATTACAGGCCCGGGATCAGCTACTGGGCACTTTCCTGAACTCTGCTTACCACACTAGCAGCTGTCCTGAGGTTATTGCTGTTAAGGGCCATCAAGTCAGTTTCAACTCAGTGACCCTGTATAGGGTTTCTGGGGAGTGGCTGGTGAGTTTGAACTGCTGACCTTGTGGTTCGCGGCCCAGTGCTGATCCTACAACGCCATAAAACCAGCGTGACTCAGTCCCTGACCTAGGGACTAGCAAGGACAACCGGGCTTTAAAAATCCCAGCAAGCGGAGCTTCAAGTTAAGCTCATGCCATTGTCTCCTATGAGAAGCTAGGCCAGCAGCCAGGCAGGCAGCATCTCCACTTCCCTGGGCCTCACCCAGAGCTGCAGACCACTCTCTAGACCCTGAGAGCCACTCTGTGTGAAGCACTCCCCCAGGGCAGCTACTTCCTGGCTGACTCCCCCACCAGCCCATTCCTGTGAGAGCTCACCCTAAGCTTCAGTTATGTCCTATGTTATAACTTAACATAGGACTCTACATGCCCAAAGGTGCCAACTTAATGCGCAAACTGCTCAAGGAATAAACTACTTAAAAACAAAACAAAGGCAGCCGCCGCATGGAGTCCATTTCTCCTCATGGACACCGTAAAGGCTAGAGCAGAACCGCTCCACAGGGTTTCCAAGGCTGTACATCTTTACAAGGGCAGAACACCTTACACTTCTCCCGGGGTGTGAACCGCCGACCCTGTGGTTAGCAGGCTAACACTTAACCCACTGAGTCACTAGGCTCCTGAGCAATCAGTGCTACCCAGACCTTCCTGTCATCTCCGCCAGCCTATGTTTCTACTGCTGCCTCCTGTCTTCTGAATGCCTCCCGACCTTAGCACTTAGCTACAATACTCTCCCTACTTACCAAACACCCGCCACGCTTCTCAGATCACTGTTTATGGCCGTCACCTTTTCAAGTCACCATTAGGAGGTGATTCTGGCAGGATTCAAACTCCAGGCCTTCCAACAATGAAAACAAAGGTAAGCCTTCCAGGAGCTGCCTGTCTGACTGCACACCACCACCCAAGGAGGCAGCCCCAGAGAAATGCCAAGGCTGCAGGTCAAGCTCTGGACCCTCCCCCAGGATCAAGTTCCTGGCATTCACAGCATGAAGCCAGAGCAACAGAGCAGTCAGCAGGGCCAGAGCATTCTGAGGTCAGGTTTGAGCCATGACTCCTAAAAGCTCAGCATGGAAGCTATTTCCTCAGCCCCAGAAATGATTATGTGGGCCACCCAGTAACCTGTATTAGGACTCTGATGAAAAGACTTGATTATCATCACTGAGCATGCTCCTTTCTATCAGGTGCACTTGTTACATACAGCACGCTCAGAAATGGGGTTTTGCCTACTACAGATGTGGGGTTTTTTTCCTGGATACATCTGGTCCACCACCTTTGTAAAAGCCTGAGGATTCTGGCAGATCAGCTTCCAGATTATTGGGGTTTTATTAGGCCTGAAAACTTGAAGGGGGACAATGTCACGTAAGATTGTAACTCCTCTTCTGAATAAAATCTGTTTCATGAAACACATACTTAAATAACATCTGAGTCAGTCTAGGCAACCAGGGCCAGGCAGCATTCTCTCTGTGTGGGATACACAGAAGGAAGGAATTAGTGCTGAGTGTGCTAGCAAGGAGACCTTAAAGATTTACTGCCTTAAACAGGCAAATAGATTGCTCTACTTTAAGGTGAAGATTCAAAATCTCACCATAACCATGGTTTTAATTTTATAACTAAATGCGTAAACTTATATATTCATAGACTCAAATGTTGCGTACGTGCCGTTGGGTCAATTCTAACTCATAGCAACCCTATACAGGGTTTCCAAGACAGCTGACCTGTGGTTGGCAGCTGGAGTCCTGGTGGGGTGCTGTGGGTTAATGTGCTGTGCTGGACAGCAAAGTCGGTTTGACCCACAAGATCAGCGGTTCAGGTTCACCAGCCACTCATCAGAAACCCTATACAGGATTGCTATGGGCTGAAACTTACACAACAACCTATATGCACCAGCTTGAAAAGTTACATGTTGTTGTTGTTAGGTGCCATCGAGTTGGTACTGACTCAGAGTGACCTTATGCACAGCAGAACAAAACACTGCCCGATCCTGGGCCAACCTCACTACTGTTGCCACGCTTGAGCCCATTGATGCTGTCATTTTGCCAATCCATTTTGCGGGGGTGGGGGAGGGTGTCTTTCTCTTTTTCTCTGACCCTTCACCTTACCAAACATGGTATCCTTCTCCAGCAATTGGTCCCCCCTGACAATATGTCTGAAGTATGAGAGACGAAGTTTGGCCATCCTGGCCTCCAAGGAGCACTCTGGCTGTATTTCTTCCTAAACAAACATATCTTTTGGTTCTTTTGGCAGTCCATGGCACTTTCAATAGTCTCCTCCAACACCATAACTCAAAAGCATCAATTCTTCTACGGTCTTTCTTATTCACTGTCCAGCTGTCGCATCCATATGAGGTTACTGACTATACCATGGCTTGGGTCAGGCACACCTTAGTCTTCAAGCTGACATCTTTGCTCGTCAATAGTTTAAAAAGGTCTTGTGCAGCAGATTTGCCCAAAGCAATACGTCATCTGATCTCTTGACTGCTGCTTCCATGAGTGTTGATAGTTGATGCAAGAAAAATGAAGTCCTTGACAACTTAAATCTTTTCTGTTCATAAGAATGCTGTTTATTGGTCCAGTGATGAAGATTTTTGTTTTCTTTACATTGAGATGCAATCCATACCAAAGGCTTTGCTCTTTGATCTTCATCAGTAAATATTATAAGTCTTCTTCACTTTCAGCAAGCAAGGTAGTATCATCTGCATATCACAGGTTGTTAGTGAGTCTTCCTTCAATCTTGATGTCACGTTTTTCTTCACAAAACCCAGCTTCTCGGATTATTTGCTCAGCATACAGGTTGAATAAGAATGGTGAAAGAATACAACCCTGTCACACACACCTTTCTTAGTTTAAAATCATTCAGTGTTTCCATGTTTTGTTGGAACAACTACCTCTTGGTCCAGGTACAGATTCCTCGTGAGCACAATTAAGTGTTCCCGAATACTCATACTCCGCAATGTTTTTCACAGCTTTTTATGATCCACACAATCAAAAGCCTTTGCATAGTCAATAAAGCACAGGTAAACATCTTTCTGATATTCTCTGCTTTCAGCCAAGATCCATCGGACATCAGCAATGATATCCCTCATTCCACGGCCTCTTCTGAATCCGGCTTGAACATCTGGCAGTTCTCTGTCAATGTATGCTTGCAGCCGTTTCTTTATTACCTTTAGTAAAACTTTACTCGCAATGGGATATCAAAGATATTGTCTGATGATTTCCGCATTCTGTTGGGACACCTCTTTTTGGGATGGGCACAAATTTGGATCTCTTCCAATCAGTCGGCCAGATAGCTGTCTTCCAAATTTCTTGGCATAGATGAGTGCCTCCTGTGCCACCTCACTTTCTTGAAAGATTTCAATTTTTATTCCATCAATTTCTCATGCCTTGTTCCTTGCCAATTCCTTCAGTGCACCTTGGACTTCTGCCTTCAGTATCATTGGCTCTTGATCATAGGCTACCTCTTGAAACGGTTGAACATCAACCATTTCCTAGGACACATTTAGTTTAAAAATGCAAGTTGCAGAACAATCCTTAGAATGAGTTCTCTGTTCTAATTTGAAATTAAACCCTGCTGTGTATCTGCAAGCCCATGTGCATGCACACGTCACCTGCGCAAGATGGGCTCCAAACCCCCAGTAGTGGAAGGGCCAGGTACAAGAGCAGAAGAAAAGGCTCTTGTTTGGTATTCATAACCACCAACATCAAAAGAGCATGCCAGAAGGGCAGTGAATTTCACTTTCTTTCCTGTGCTCCTTTGTATTTTCCAAATAGCATAGGTTGGGAAACGTAGGTAATTTTATCAAAAAATCCCTAAACAAATCCCAGAAATGAAAAAAGGAATCTCACATTCATCCTTACATTTACAGGCGATATTTTGATTCTACTCCCTTGTGAAGTAATCACAGTTCTACATGGTGTGAACCAGTGGTCTGAACCCATAAAGGGGTGCCTGCTTCCCCAAGGACCCTTCGGAGCACTTCTACTCTATCCACGCAGGGTCACCATTAGTTGGGACTGACTGGACGGCAAATAACAACAGAACATCATGTAAATACCCAATTCCGACATTTTGTGTTTTACCCTATGCTAAGATCACTAAGAATTACATTGTTACTTGTGAGGGTCTCTGTGAGGATTAAAGGATTATTGGAAAGAGTACATGAAACTTCAGGAGGAAAAGATGACAATCTGTTAACGTTTCTAGCTCTTGCTGCTTTACACGCTGACATTTTCAGGCAAGCACCATGCTGCGCTGCGTACACTCACGTAGTCTGTGCAAGTCCAGTCTCTGTCCTTCCCAGACTTTGTTCCAACAGGCTCTTTATACCGAGGGCAGCGTACAGTGGAGTTAATGATTAAAGGAAGACAAGATAACGAAGGAGAAAGATGCTACTCTCATCCTAATGTTCTTCACCAAAGACAGGCTGGTACCACAACTATTAGGACTGAATTCATTTAAATACGGAAATCATACAAACAACAGCAAAAACGGCAGAGACTTAGCATATGAGGGCAAGTGGAAAAGCATAACTATTAGAGTTCCAGTTCATACATGCACGGGTTTATTGCAAATGTGTTTAAACATGCCTGTAATCAGCAGATGGCTGCAGACAAGTTATTTCAGTTACACACTTGTCTTGGTCTCATTAAGGTGCCTTCAAGACAAAAGGACACTACAGCATGAAGATCCGCTAGCTCAGTCTTTTAAACAACATCAAAGCTAGTGAAGATGATTTCCTGGAATTAATCCTACCTGGCGCTTTACTGATACAATCCAAAGATCAAGGTCCAATCAAAACAGCTCACCTGAGGGACAACTCAATTCTGGCGACTTTCTGGAATTCCAAAAGGGTCATCTAGATTTTCTCAAAGGACACCTGATGGTCAGGAGGGCTTATTAAGAAGGCAGCAGCTTTAAGAAAACTGAAAACTAGTAAGGTTGTGCCCTGGGATTTTCTTTCATCATGACAACACACTTACTCGTTCTCTGAGACCAGGAAGAGCTGTCCTAGGGAATTTCATTTCAAAACCTGACCCCATCCTCCCCACAGCTCTGATCTTGCCTCTTTGGACTTCTTTATGTTCCCAAATCTCGGAGAATATTTCAAAGGAACACAATTTGGATACCTGGAAGACGCTGGACCCACCTTTTGACATGGTGTAAACACAAGAGCATCGAATTCTTCAGGGAAAGAGTTACAGAGGTGGAATACCACCTTCAAGAAGTGTATAGACCTATGACGGTTACTGGGCAATGGTGGAGGAGTTGTTGTTGTTATTGTTGTGTGCCATGGAGTCGGTTCCAACTCATAGCAACCCTACACAGGGTTTCCAAGGTTGTAAATCTTTACGGGAGCAGAAAGCCTCATCCTTCTCCTGCGGAACAGCTGGTAGTTTCAAACTGCTGACCTTGAGGTTCACAGTCTGATTAGTAACCACTACGCTACCAAAGGTCCTTGGGTGGAGAAGTTGTTGTTGCGTGCTGGGGAGTCGGTTTCAACTCACAGTGACCCTGTATAGGGTTTCCGAGGTTGTAAATATTTCTCCCAAGGAACGGCTGGTAGTTTCGAACTGCCGACCTTGAGGTTTGCAACCCGATTCGTAACCACTACGCTACCAGAGCTCCTTGGGTGGAGGAGTAGTGGTGGTTATGTGCCGTGGAGTCGGTTCCGGCTCATAGCAACCCTGTACAGGGTTTCCAAGGCTGTAAATCTTTACGGGAGCAGAACGCCTCATCTTTCTCCTGCGGAACAGCTGGTAATTTCGAACTGCTGACCTTGAGGTTTGCAGGCCGATTTGTAAACACTACGCTACCAGAGTTCCTTGGGTAGAGGAGTAGGGGGAGGTTATACCTGGGCCAGAAGGCAGGCACATGTTGAAATAGGTGATGGGGCAGACAATATACAAGAGAGAGGTTAGCAGAGGAAAGACAAAGACACAGGGAAGAATGCAAGAGTTAAATGAATAGAGGTAAATGCCAGTAACTGTTGGTAGATAGAGGGGATTGTAATGAAGCAAAGTCTATGATTTGAATGTAAAATTGATGATCTGCTCTGTAAACCTTCACTCAAATCACAGTAAAAATTAAATAAAATTAAAACAATGTGCAAACCTAGACAGAAGATCTGTTGAGAAACATTTGGATATCCTTGTTTAATAAAGGTCTGTATGATTCTGCAGTATTTTTTAACTTAGCTTTTATATAAGAAAAAACAAAGAATCTGTTTAAAGATTGACAAGATTGAAAACAGACAAGTTCCACATATTATTAAATAAAAGGAAAGAAAGTCCGTGTCATAACAAAGTTAAAGCGAAAGCAATGAGCTCGCTTAAACAATGCGGCCGCCGTTCACCTGGAGACAACCTCCCAAGCTAACCATGTGGATGAGAAGACACAGGAACTCTCAGCTCGCAAGGTAACAGGTGAGGAGAAAGGCTCCTCCCATAATCCCACCGGGCAGTTGGCGGTCACTGTGGGTGGCTGCACTCGCCGGAACAGGTTCCTCCCACAATCCCACTGGGCAGTTGGCGATTACTGTGGGTAGCTGCTCTCAACGGAACAGGCTCCTCCCACAATCCCACCGGGCAGTTGGCGGTCACTGTGGGTGGCTGCACTCACCGGAAGGCAGTACCAGCTCCATGGTTTCGTCATCGTACTGCACGCTCTTTTCTGAGGGAAACGCCTCAGCCTCCCCGGGCTCGTCCCCTTCCTTGTGATCCGGGTAGCTGCTCCTGTGACAATGAGGATGAGGGTGAGCTAACAGACTAGTACCTCACAAGCCAACTCTACGTGCAAATGCGGCAAACCCACAGCTTCCTAGAGGGGATCGCCATCTGAAAGGTCTTGGGGGCCAACAACTCGCTTCCATCTTCTGTAATGAAAGTAAGCAGGTGGTCCAAGGGGGCTGCACAAAGCTTGTGGGAACATGGAGCTAAAAGTTTCTGGTGTTTGCTCAGACTGTTTAAAGTCCCTTTATATAACCGTGTCCACTCACTAGTGGAGCACTAATGGTAGTGGTACAGTGGGTTAGGCACTGGGCTAGTAACCAAAAGGTCAGCAGTTCAAGCCCCCCAGCTGCCCATGGCAGAAGGATGTGGTAGTCCGCCCACTGCTGTAGAACTGGCAGGTTCGGGACCCCTATGGAGCAAGTCTGTGCACTCCTGTAAGGTGGCTGTAGGAATCAACCTAATGAAAGCGGGTTTGAGGTTGTCACACACTGTAGGACACAAGCTGAGAGAGGAAGAACCCAGAACAGGAGCTGCGGTCCAGACGGGTGACCGGAGCGAAGCAGTGCTGGCCAGGAAGACGTCCTATCATGTCCAGCGCGGCAGTTTCCAGGTGCCTGTGGGCACTGAGCATGTGAAACACAACGGCAGAATTCAAGTTCCAAAGCAGCTCCAGAACGCTGGCCACCTGGGCTACCACGCACACTCAGCAAAGGGCTAACCCGAAACAGCGTAAAGGGAGAACTTTCCCTCTACAGGTGAAGTGTTGAAACTGCTTTGAGAACTATTTGGACACACATATGGTGGTGCTGTGGGTCGGCTCCTGTAATGTGACCCCCAAGTTTAGTTTCAGAGACTGTAACTCTTTAAAGGAACAGCCTCATCTTCCTCCCATGAGTGGCTGGTGGGTTTGAACCGCCAACCTTGTGGTTACCAGGCCAATACCTAAACCACAGCATCACTCTGAGGCAGTTCTCTGCCATACAGGGTCACTGACTGACTTGATGGCATTGTTGTTGTTAAGTGCCGTCAAGCTGGTTCCGACTCACGGTGACTCTGCACAGGGTTTCTAAGAAGCAGCTGGTGGGTTTGGTCCAAACGGACCGTGCAGTCAATCGATTCAATCTGATCCTGCAGTCAAGTGCTTTAGTTGAATATATTCCTTAGCACAATATAATTCCATGCCTAGTTATATATCCAGTACAGTATGAGCTGTGGGATGTAGGGAGACCGGGCAGGAGTGAACATGGGGAAACCGGGTTGCAGGAGAAGAGGCAGTGACAGAAGTGGTCCAATTGTGAAGGTACATGAAGGCAACGAGCACATGATGTAGGCACAGGACTAGGGTATGCCTCACAGAAGTCAATGAGGATGCCGGGGTCCCTGGTGTCAGCAAAGGAAGGGCAGGGGCATCCGCTTTCTGCGGAGCAGCCGGGGCCCCAGGAGTCAGCCCGCATGGGAAGTCCGCCATCTCCTTTGGACAGTCCGGGTAAACTGTCAAGTAGACAGCTGGATACTCAAGTGTGGAGCTGGATGATGTCTCTATACGGAGTCACCGTGGCGCAGTGGTTTAAGCAATGAGCTATGAATTACAAAGTCCATGGTTCAAAGTCACCTACCTGTGTAGAGGAGAAAGATGAGGCCATCTTGGAACCCTGGGGAGCAGTTCTAGTCTGTCGTGTGGGATGGCTACAGCACGAGGAGACTGACCCTCAGTACAGGGATATCGGCATGGGGGTCGTTAGTACACTGGAGGGACGGAGTGAGGAAGGGGCCTGGGGAAGCCCCTGGTCTCGGCCCCAGGCGCCTGTGAGCTCGGATTACAGGAGGCCCAAGGGTCATGAGAGCCCAGGTCGGACAGGATCTGTGAGAAGGATGTGCAGTCTCTCTGACCTGCAGGAGGAAGGTTTTCACCCAGCAGCTACTGGGTTCTGCTTTCCGCTTCTGCGCCCCTAAACTCAGCCCCCGGCCATCGCGTGGCCAGGCCTCACAGCCACACTACAGGACTGAGCAGAAATGCTCTGTGGGGTTTCTGATACTGTCCATCTTGAAGGGAGCAGCAGCCTCATCTTTCTCTTGTGGAGCAGCTGGTGGGTTTGACCCAATGACCTTTTGTTAGCAGTTCATCTCTTAACCCACTGCCCCACCAAGGCCCTCCTCTTCCCTAAACGCAAAATCAATCAGAAGTTGGAGAGAAAATGCAGAAGGTGGATTTAAAGAACCAAGACTCCTCCTCCCGTGTGACCACGTGATGTAGTGCCTCAGCCATGACACCCACCGACTGTCTCTTGAACGAGGAAGTGGCTCTAAACAAGGGTCATACTTGAGATGCTAGTTAGGGATGAAACACCTATGGAATAATCTCACCCTAAGATCCTTGGGTCCCGCCAAGTTCAGGCCCCACCTCGGCTATCATAGGAGACAGCTCAGGAGTCAAGGACTCTTGGGGAAACCAAAACATGCAACCTAATGTCCTCATCTGTGTTCAGAGATCACCTTTACAGGGCTGACAAAATAGCATTTGAGCAATTAGGAACAGAAATTAAAACACTGAAGTCAGACAAAGTATGTTGGAGCCTGAGGCCATTCTTGACCAGGTGTGTAAAAAACCAATTTCTCATCTACAAAAACAAAACACAACTGGGAAGACACTACCTCATACAAAGTAAGCTGTTGGCTATGAGGTGCTACTTCTCCCAGTTCTGTGTCATTTTTGCAGGTGTTGTAGAGTCCTGGTGTGACCCTTTAGGATCAGCTGTAGATCACAAGGGTCAATTTGAACCTATACAGATCGCTGAGTCGGAACCATCTCAAGGGCACTTACAACAACATAAAGGTGTTGTAAGGGTGATTATGAGTATAAAATCAACAACCACTCTGAAAGGGATTCCATTAGTAAGTCCATAGACAAAGTAGGGAGAAAAACGTGGAACAAAATGCAACATCGTAAAAAGGCCAGTGGTTACACAGAAACTCAGTTCAGTGGAGCCCGAGACTACAGCCCTAGCCACCCTTCAGGACTGGAAGTGAACTTGCTCTAATGACACAATTTTCTGCCAAATAGACAGATCTCTAATAACACTGGTAGCGTAGTTGTTAAGAACTGGACTACAAACCCCAGTGTCAGAAGTTCGAAACTACCAGCTGTTCCACGGGAGAAAGATGAGGCTTTCTACTCCCATAAAGATATACAGCCTTCGAAACCCTGTACACGGTCGCTATGAGTTGGAATCGACTCCTCGGCACATAACAACAACATAATAACATTGAAGTCCTGGTATGGCGCCGTGGGCTAATCTGCTGGACTGTAAAGTCATTCTGAACCGCAAGGGCGGCAGTTCAAGCTCACCAGCCACTCCTTGGAAACCCTATACAGGGTCCCTATGGGTCAGAGCCGACATGATAGCACAACACCACTAGCGAGGTACAGACACCTTAGAATAAGCAGCCACTTGAGATCCAAAGGGTAGCATTTACCTAAAGAGAAAGCTCAGAAGGGTTAGGGAAGGAGGAGTGAACACCGGAAGCCCAGGAAGGAAACTGGACACATGGTGTTACATTGTGGGGATCGTAATCAAGGACACAAAGCAGAACATAGTCCCAGTGTCAAATAGAAAACTGATCTGTTCTGTAAACCTTCCCCAAATTCACAATAAAAAGTGAAAAGAAAAAAAATTATACAGAGAGCACACGAGCGAGTGAACGAACCCTGGTGTGGCGCTGTGGGTTAATGCGCTGGACCGCAAGATTAGGGGGGTTCAGACTCACCAGGAGTCACTCCTCGGAAACCCTATCAGAGTCACTCTGAGTCAGAAGCCACTTGATGATATTTAAGAAGACACACATACACATATACATCATTCCACCTCCCTCCCACTGCAGACCGGAGACCCACCTGAAGTCATAAAAGTCTGCGAACTCCAGGGCGGCGTCCCCATCAGTGAAGAGCTTGCAGTGGCTCTTGTCGGTCATGTGCGCCTGCACCGCCTCCGTGGAGTAGAAGGAGCGCCCTTTCTCATTGCACCACAGGCAGATCTTCCCAACCCCGACTTTCTCCCCTGGACAATGAGGGTAACACATGAAAGCGGCTCCCGGAAGGCTGATATCTATCTCTTCGTCATTTATCTCCACAATTCAAAGAAACCCTTCCACAAGACTTTGACCACCACCAAACAAGCAGGTGCTCTGATCAAAGGGAGAGGTGAAATGAAGAACAATTGCGGAAAAGAGAACCCCCTCAGCCCCTCGGACCAACTGCTCCACACTGTGGTTTCTCGTTAAAGAGGAAACGGCTGTAACTTACCCAAATACCTGATCAGTCCCTTCAGATCACAAAGATACTCAATGTCGGGGATAAAGAAGCTGTGGACTTTCGTCATATGAGCCACATTCTTCACCAGCGAGCTGGAGTGATGGGAACAGAACAAGCAGTCAGTTACAGGGATGGCCCCCAGGGCTGCGGGACCCGGGCTCCCTTCCTCATCGGTGTCTTCGTCCAGCTCCTCAGCATCCCCACATTCCAATTCCTCATCGGAATCCAGATCTTCCCAATCTGCATGTTGGAGATGTGAAAAGCAAAGCATGTTTCAGAAGATAGCAAACGAAAGCTATCATAAAGACACAGGTGGAGCCATTCCAAGCCCAATCCCTTGCCAGGACCTGATTGGAGGTGCTCCTTCCCCACACACCAGTCTGCAGTCCTCCACTAACCTTTCCTGCGCATCCACGAGACACTCATGAAGCAGCAAATTCTGCTGCTTTCCAAAATCTCGGGCACTAAACCCAGGGCTGACCACATACTTAACTGGCCCCACAGCTGACTGAATGATGGCGTTTTAGAAACTGGTAGGGTCACAGGAATGCATGCATATGTGTGTTGGTGGTCACGCTACTTGAATCCTGCCCCACAATGGCAGGAGTAATAGGATGGGATGTGAAAGGAGGAATGAAGTCATAGCAAACCAGATTCCAACTCATAGTTAACCCTGCAAGGAGAGCCCAACTGCCCCCAAGTCTCCAAGACTAAGTCTGTAGGGGCCCAGATGGCTGCTTCTCCTAAGCAGAAGCTCACGGGTTCAAATCGCTGACCATCCAGTTGGCAGCAGGCACTTAACCATTGCACCACCAGGACCCCCATGAAGAATGTGACAAATAGTCCATAAAGTCACGGAGGCAGGGTTGCTGGCTCAAGCCACACACTTCAGGTCAGCTGACTGGGATCCCCTCATTCTTGTTTTGACAAACTGAAGAACAAACGCACTTGTTACATGCTGTCGAGTTGTTTCCAACTCATAGCAACCCTGTATAGGGTTTCCAAGGCTGGAAATCATTACAAAGCCAGAAAGGCCCGTCTCCTACCGAAACCCACTAGAACTGCAAATTCAACAACACAGGTGATATTAGTAAGTCCTCCTCTAATAGAAAAAAAGCTAACCACTTGCCAGTGGAGACGACTTAGAGAAGAAATGTGCTCCGTGAGGTTCTCAAGAACTGGTTTTACTGACATAGATAGCCAGGCCTTTCTTCCTGGCCACCTCTGGGCAGATTCATCAGCCTTTTGATGAGTTGTGCCAGCCAGTCTCCCAATTCATCCCACAGATATTAGGAACCTATTTAATTTTTCCCAGGTAACATTTCAAACCTTGAGGAGCGCTGGTGGTGACTTTTGTTAAGCTGGCCAAAAGACCAGAGGTTCAAACCCACCGGCAGCTCTGCAAGAGAAAGACGGGGCAATCTGCTCTGGTAAAGATTTATCACCTTGCAAACCCATGAGGTTGTTCTACTCTGTCTCACGGGGTTGCCCTGAGTCCGAATCCCACAGCAGCGGGGTGCCATAGTGGCCCGGAGGTTTAAGAGCTTGACTGCTCATCGAAAGGTCAGCAGTTCAAACCCAGCAGCCGATCTGCTCCCTCGGAAGCCCCATGGGGCAGTCAGTGCCCCTCTGTCCTCCGGGGTCGCAGTCCCTGGAGCAGATGCGGGTCCATCCCGGGGTCCATCTCAGCCCTGCCCTCCAACAGGACCCTTACCACCGTCTCCGTCCAGGGCCCCCTCCTCCTCCTCCTCGCTGGCCTCCCCCTGCTGCCTGGCCAACTTCTTGGCCTGCTGCTCAAACCACTGCAGCCGGGGCGGCTTCTGGGTCGGATCCTGGTGGTGAGTGGGCGCGGCGGGGTCCCTGCGCGTCTCCGGGGCCTTCTTGGGCGACACGGACGGCTGCGCCTTGATGGCCTGCTGGATGGCCGCGTTCACGGCGTCCTTGTCCACGCTGTCGGCGCCCAGCCCCTTCTCCAGGTTCTTTTCGTTCATCCTCTCCACGCGGCGGCTCACCGCCTGCACCGCCCTGCGCTCCAGTTCCACGTGTCGCCGGGACTGCAGGTGGTTCTCATAGGCGTTGAAGGTGGCGAACTTCTTGCTGCACACGGTGCAGTAGGTGGCCGTGCCCTTGCTCTCCTGCTCCGCCACGGCCCGCTGCGCCTGCACCCGTTCCTGGAAGCCCTCAGCCGTGACCGGGGCCATGTCGGCCACCTTCCGCCGCAGGTTGTAGCGATGCCAGTCGGTCTTGTAGTGGGCCCGCTGCAGGTCCGCGTCGCGGAACGCCACTCGGCACGTGATGCATGTGTACGTCGCCATCGCCAGGCGGGAAACTAGCTGCGACCCAGCGGGCTGCAACCTAGCGACCACCGTCCCGACCCCACAAACCCTCCTCGGACTTGAAATCGCTTCTGCGGCCCCAAAGAGCCACTGGGCGCGCTAACTTCCGGAGTCTCCTGGGGAGAACTTCCGGCAGGCGCCGGACGTGAGTCTCAGCTGTACAGGAAGTCCTGCCCCTCGTTCCGCAGCCACGCCCCATCGAGGATAAGGGGACGCCTGGCTGGCCGTCCTTGCGGAAGATGTTGATTGTCAGGTGCTGCGTTGCTCTGTAGGACGTGAGGTGTGACGTGAGGTGTGACGTCACCAGGACGTGGGTGGGTGGGGCAACTGCCGACCTGCAGGTGACCACGGCTTAGCTGAAACTGCTCTTCAGATCGCTGCGTGCGGCTTGCTGGGACTGGGCTGATGTTTACCCTGGGGTCTGTCCGCCGAACCTCGGCTTTTCTGAAGCGGCCACTCCGGCCAGGGCGCGGGCGCAGCTCTGCAATGTTTGCAAACTAAACGGAACTGGCATAGACAGGCTGCTGCCCAACAGAAATGTAATCCATGCAAAAACAAACAAACCGTAATCCCACTGCCATGGAGTCCGTTCTTACTCAAGGCGTCCCGTTGTTGAGTGTCCGCTGTAAATCTTAACAGGCAGCAGAAAGCCTCAACTTGCTCCCGCTGTGCACCTGAGCTGGTGGGTTGGAACTGCCGACCTTACAGTTAGCCCATTAAGTAGCCTCTAGACCAGTCCACTTGTGTCATTTTTAAATCGAGTGGTGTGGCGCTGTAGGATAAGCACAGGACTGGTAGCCTCAAGGTCGGCCGTTCAAACACACCAGCTACTCTTGGAAACCCTATACAGTCTTGCTATGAGTCAAACGGACTCGACAGCAGATAACAAGAAGTAGCTGCATTTAAAAATGAAAGTAAGATAAGATGAAAAGGTAAATAACTAATAGTAATATATTTTATTTAAGCCAACATTGTTGTGTGCCGTGGAGTTGGTTCTGACTCATAGTGACCATGTACAGTGTTTCCGAGGCTGTAAGTCTTTACGGGAGCAGAAAGCCTCATCTTTCTCCCACAGAGCAGCTGGTAGTTTCGAACTGCTGACCTTGTGGTTCGCATCCCGATTCATAACCACTATGCTACCAGGACCACTGTAGGAGCAAGAAAATAGAACTGCACTTTAGGGCTTCAGAGACTAACTATGGAAGCATACAGCCTCGTCGTTCAACACAGCCTCGCCTGGTGGGTTTGAACTGCTGACCTGGTTAGCAGCCAAGCACTGTAACCTTGGTGTCACCTGAGTCCTCTAACCCAACATGTTGGGTATCCTCAAGACAATTATGATTCAGCCAGAATTAGGCACTCCATCCTCACAACCAATCATATTTGATCCCATTGCTGCTGCCACAGTGTCAATCCATCTTATTTACGGTCTTCCCCTTTTTCGCTGACTCTCCACTTTGCCAAGTATGATGTTCTTCACCAGGGTCTGGCCCCTCCTAATACTGTGTTCAAATATAAGAGACAAAGTCTCACCATCCTGACTTCTAAAGAGCATTCTGTCTGTGCTTTCAGACAGACCTGTTTGTTCTTCTGACCAGCACCACCACAATTCAAATGCATCAATTCTTCTCCAATCTTCCTTATTCATTGTCCAGCTTCCACATACATATGTTGTTGTTGTTGTTGTTAGGTGCCATCGAGTTGGTACCGAATCATAGCGACATTATGCACAGCAGAACGAAACACTGCCTGATCCTGGGCTAACCTCACTACTGTTGCCACGCTTGAGCCCACTGATGCTGCCACTTGGCCAATCCATCTCCTTCAGATCTTCCTCGTTTTCTCTGATCCTCCACTCTACCAAACATAATATCCCTCTCCAGCAATTGGTCCCTCCTGACAATCTGTCCACAGAATGAGAGACAAAGTTTGGCCATCCTGGCCTCCAAGGAGCACTCTGGTTGCACTTCTTCCAATACAGATCTGTTGATTCTTTTGGCATCCCATGGCACTTTCAATATTCTCCTCCAGCACCATAACTCAAAAGCATCAATTCTTCTACGGTCCTCCTTATTCACTGTCCAGCTTTCGCATGCATATGAGGTTATTGATAATACCATGGCTTGGGTAAGGCACACCTTAGTTCTCAAGCTGACATCTTTGCTCTTCAACACTTTAAAAAGGTCTTGTGCAGCAGATTTGCCTAATGCAATACGTTGTTTGAT